TAGATTTGTCCCCATTATTCCTCTGACATTGTCTTAGTGTGGAACCTATCTGTAAACAAATAGACTTACATATTCAGAATTTATCAAAGTTTCATAACGTCTCTTCATGACTTTGAAGACAAGTTGAACATTGAGTTGAATGTTTCATGATACCCCTTACAAACTAACCATGGGTTTGAATTTGAATATTATCCTCAATTGGTTTTCTATCCCTTGTTATCTAGTAGAATCAATAATTTTATTTGGCAACTTGGGAGAACCTTTTCTACAAAAATGAACATAGATAATAGCTCTTTGGGAGGGAAAATTATCTTCCAAGTTGAAATTTTTTTCGGGAAAATATTCATTTTCTATAAACACAATATAACACTTTAACTGTTAGAATGTACTTTTTCCAATAAGAATGTTTTGCTGATGTTTTCCTTTCAGAAAATATGGCTATTTCATACTTGCTTTTAAAGCATCCTGCAGGGCTCATAAACTGCTCATAAAATGCAAACCTACAGAGACATTGTCTTGTACTCCTCAAGCCTGCAAAATTCTTTAATATTTCCTATTTCTTCTTTTAACATAGCACAGTCACTATTTAAATTTCCCCTTTTCTTTTATTTCATCTTCTACATCATTTTTATTTTTCCCTCTGCATATACATTTTTATCTCACTCTCTTTATGTCTTTACAGATTGGATAGCACAAAAATTAGCTTTTCAATTTCTTCTTCCTTATTCAGCTTTTCTATTTCCAGGTCTCTAGAGAGACACATTGTCTCACTCCTTTTCTTAATTTTGTTTTACTTCACCTGTATGCCCTTCCATAGGTCCAACTCTCAAGCAATTTTTAGAAGAGGAAGAATTATTTCCCTGCACTATATTTCTGTAATTATTCAAAACCTTCAAGCCAAGACATTAAACAATTATACTTTAATTCTTTGTAATTAAAAACTGCCTCTTTTCAACCATTTCAACTATCCCCTGAGATGCTAAAATTATTATAAAACGTATTTGATGAGTGTAGAGTGGGAAGAATCAAGAGTCCAGGTCCAGGGTGCACTGTAAATAATTGGGGCAATGGGAATGTTTCAGAATGGTTTTCAAATTTTTCTATTTGTTAATGTTCTAAAGACAGAGTAGAATAAATGATGGTTAGAGGGAATGGAAGAGGATAAGTGAAGTTAGAAAGTTATAGTACTAAGATAGCTATAGTGAATTCTTTGAAATCTCTCATTTAATGTGTATATGTCACATGAATTTTGCATTCTACTTCATAATGTATGTATGTTAATTTTTGTATAAAAATTCTCCCAAATCCCTGAGTGAAATCATTGGTTCTATTAGGTGACCATTTCCCCCCTGTGCCTTATAATTCATGCAGCAACTTGTCAAGTATCCCAAAGGAGCAGAAGTACCCCAATTTGTAAGCTCAATGCCAGGGTAAGAAAATAGGGACATCTATTACAACTTGTGTATCATCTTGCTTCCTATTATTATTCATGAAAAACTGTGTTAAATGTCAGAATAGAGTAGCTGCCTCACTGATAGATGCCTATCTTCAAATGCAATGAGTTGTTTGACCAGGGAGTGAGCACCTTGAATACAGGTGTTTAAACAGAGACAGGGAAATTATATTGAGAATTTGAATCCCAATTATAGGGTAAGACTGGATAGAGATCCATCAAAGCATCTGGCTGTTATCATGGTAAAATAAAAGGAAACTTCTATTTTCCTACCAGGCATTCTATTAATAAATTGATAATGTATGTGAAGATGGAAAGACATTAAAATTTATTAAGATATTTAAGTAAAACCTAGAGAATAACTCCAGTAGTAGTACACATCAGAGATATGTTGAATGCAAATTTTACTGGTGAAATAACTAAAATAAATAAAAATATCTCTGAAGAAACTTGATGTTTTGGGTGGAGGGGGATAAATATAATTGCTCTGACTAAAATATATACAAGCAAATATTGGATAAGGACTACACTGTACTCTGGCTAGGTAGCAGTAGTGTTGGAGTAGTCAAAATTAAGAGATAATAGGATAAAGGGCAGGGAAGAACTGAGAAGGCACTAAGCAGAGATTTTTCTCTTTTGTCCTTGATCTGTTGCACTGGTTTCTATTAGATCATATTACCTCCCATTGCCACAGCAGGCTGACCGAACAGCCACAGGAGTTCTGGGACCATTTTCAACCATTCTTTTTTCCTACTACCACCTTGGCCATTGTCTAGCTTGGCAATCTATTGGAATCCATCTCAGTTCCTTCTTTGTTTAACGCTTAAAAAGATATACTCAGATTTGGAGAGATAGATATAAGTACTTTCTTTTTAAAATGCTAATACATGGAAGAATACCTTATTATCCAAAGGCTAGTATGTGACCCAGCACGAGCATTGCCTGGAAGGGGGTTAGAAATGCGGAATCTCAGGATCTACCCTCATATACTGAATCACAGTCTGTACATTAACTCATAGGAGTTTCACATCCACATTAATGTCTCAGAAACATGATCTAACTTGTTTGCTTTTCCATAGTGTGTCACCCCCTTCCCCCAGGTGTCAGTGGTTTCTTGAAATGAATTTAATTGAGGCCATGCTCTTTCTTAATTGATTCATTAATCTATATCCCCAGCTAATCCTCACAACAAATCTTCAAGATACCTTGGTACTCATATTGCAGGTGAGACAGGACAGGTAACTATCCTGTAACTATCCAAGTTCCCGAATCTAATAAATGGTGAAGATGGGTCTGGGTGTTTTAGTCAGCTTTGCATTGCTGTGACAAAAATCCCTCACAAGAACAACTTAGAGGAGGAAAAGTTTATTTGAGGCTCATGGTTTTAGAGGTCTCAGTCTATAATGGTTGACTCCATTTCTCTGGGCCCAAGGTAAAAAACCAGTGGAATTCTTGGCAAGGTCAGGATGCAGAGAGAGAGGGAAGGGACAGTAGGGATATGCACCGCTCCAGGGTAAATACTCAATAACACACCTGTTCCAGCCTGCTCCAGTTGTCTACTGTTACTACCCAGTCATTCAAACTAGGATGGACTTGTTAAGTTAAAGCTACTACAATCCAATCACTTCAGCTCTGAGCATTCCAGAATTAACACAGGAGATTTTGAGGGACACCTCACATTCAAACCATAACATTGGGTCTGACTGATTCCCAAGTCTTTTTATCTTTTCCTATGCTATATTGCTTTTCCTTGAACTTAATTATGGGTAATTATTTATGCACGAGTAAAATAAGGTCCATTTAAAAATTAGGTTTGTAAAAAGAGCCCTTTTGAGCATGTTCAAAGAAATAGGTCAGTTGAGTGCAATGGCACACACCCGTAATCCAGCTACCCTGAAGGCTGAAGTGGGAGGAACTCGAGTTCAAGTCCAGCCTGAGCAACACAGCAAGACTCAAGCTTGAAAAAAAGTAAAAAATGGGTGGGATTGGGGAGGAAAGAGAAAAGGAAAAAAATCCTAACAGGTCTTTCATTCAAGGATTATTTCAAATACTGTTTCACACTTTGCTGGTGATGAAGCCAAGAAGTGGTAAAACATTGTTGGTCCTTGGCTTTTGGTATAACTTGGAGATTTTAAGAGGATCGCATCCTTTACACACATACTTTATCCTGCCCATCAACTGACTTGCATCTTGCTGCTGAGGCATGCTCCATCTGTTCAAGTTTGTACTGGGCCAGGTGCTAAAAGCAGTACTGATTGTGTTCTGTTGAGGCTGCCCATATGCCTCCACACAAACTCTAGTTCAAGAGCTGCAAAACTATTTGCATTTTTAATCTATCAGATGGCTTTGAACAAAACCAGTGCCAACAAGGCTATTTGAATGCTGCATATTTGCCAAAAGAGTGTAGAACTTATGGCTTCCTATCAAATTATTAAGAAATGCTGTATTTTCAGAATAACTATATTTTACAGTGAGAGGTGCAAGTGAAGAAATCCCACAGAGCATTGGGGAGGATCCTGAACATTTTTTTTTTCCTGGAAAACTATTCTGCTACAAAAGTAGGGGGGGGGGACCCAAAGTGTGCTGGAGGATCTTGTGTGGCCATAACTCTGGGGTTGTAAACTGCACGGACCTTTTGCAAGCTGGGTGACATATAATGTGGGCTGTACATGCTGCATAAGCATTACTTGGAGAATAGACATCTTCAAATGAGCAATGCATTAGGAGCATGAAGTGAGTGTGGGGCACGACCCTGTGTCTTTAGGGTAGAACTGGGTATGGAAGGGGCACAATTTTCAGTTGAGTGAGGGCAGGAGAAATACTGATGCTTCTTGGTTGGTTTCTGGGATGTTTGCACACTTGAAGGGGACTCTTTTGGCTCATCCTTGTAGAGGGTGTGGGTTTGATGGAGGACTTTTTCCTCTCCAGTAGCCCACCCTGCTTTCCCTGAAGTGATCAAGATCAGGAGATGTCCTAGCCAGATTTGCCATCTGGGAGCAGGGCCTGTTAGCGGCGTTCTCCTCGAGCTCTTCATAGTCATTTTCTCTTTCTCAGGCTCTCTCCTTAAAGCTAGCAAAGGACTCCTGTGAGAGATAAATCAAGGACCTCAAGGACTGAGGTTTAACTTGACTCCACCCCTCGGTTCAGAGCTGGCCCGAGTCTGAGAACTTGGAGTCGGTCTCTAGAGTAAAGCTTATGGAGTTTAAACAAACAAAAAGGACAAGCCCATCTTAAATGTCAGTCCAGCATCCACCGGGGCGAGTGACAGCAGGTAATTAGAAGCAATTAGTTGTTCCCCTGCCGGGAAGCCGGGCAATTACCTTTCTCTCTTTTCCTTCCGTCCTTCCTCTTCCCATGAATGCGGTAGAAGTGCTCTGCTCCTAAGCAGCGACTTACGCTGGGCTGGCACAGGAATGAGGGATGAACTGAGCCGGGACTCGGTCTCCTCCTTCCGCCGCCGCTGTGGCCGCGGGCGCAGCAGTGCATTGTGGTGGCAGAGCGCGCCGCGGCGGCTGGAGCTGCGGCCCGGGATCGCGCGGCAGGGAGCTGTCCGAGGTGCTGACCGTCCCGCCTGCAGCCCGCCGGCGCCCTGCGCGTCCACCTGCACCCGATCCTGCCAATTCCTGGCCTTCCTCCCACCCTCGGTCTGCCTGTTTTTCTCTCTTAACCCAGGAGTCGAAGGAAATCATGGTGTTCGCCCCAGGTACATTCGCACCTTGCTTTTTCCCCAGGTGTGCAGGCGGGGAGCGGGGTAGAAAGGGGAGGAGGATAAGAAGAAAAGGCCTTGACTTTAGGACCCATCTGCGCCTTTGGAGTCGCTGTTAGTGCGCGAGGGGCTCGAGAGTACCTCCGCGTGTAGCCTTCGCCCCTCTCCTCAGTCCCGCCCCATCTGTCCTCTAACAACCTCCAGCCCTCCCTGGTCATCGTCCCGCCGCTCTGCTTCACGCCTGGCCCTTCCATACCCTAATCTGAGCGCAGGCACCTTGAGAACTGGGACCTTCGTCAGCAGCATCAGCACCTGCGCCTACAGCGGGAGTGAGAGAGGTGGAGCAGGGTAGTGGGCTTCCAGCTACTTCGGTGGGAGTTTCCTTCGCTACTTCATCTCCCTCCACAGAAGTGGCAAAGTGACCCGGTTCCTCCAGGCCTTCCGAGGAGAATGAGGCCAGGCAGGCGAAGAAGTCTGGGAGAGTGAGACGAAGGGCAGAAAAGCGACACCTTTAATAAAGGGTGAAAACTCCAGCCCGAGGCTGCAGCACAAAAGGCTGCTACTGCGACGCCCTTGGTGATTGCGGGTGTCTTTTGGAGCAGGTGATGAAGGACCTTGGTCCCTGTGCCGCTGTCTGGGGTTACAAGTTGGCGAGTCAGATTTGTCTGCGGTTGGCAGACTTACCGTCGTGTGTGCGCGTGTGTTTGGGGGTGCACTCCACTGGGGCAAGGACCTGGGTGCGTGTGCGTCGGTGAGGTGGGGCTGTTGGGGAGCAGAGGGGAAAGCCTGGTCATTTTTAACGTTCCACTCTGTCTGGTAGATAAAAAAAAGTTCTCTCCGTCGTTCCTTTTGCCTCTCGATCTCGCGATTTAGGCTCTATTCTCATCAACTTCTGCGGTGGGAAACAGGGAGTGGGGAGGAGTAGGCGAGCTAAACTCTAGCTTTGTTATGGGTCTTTACCTCGGAAGGTTGGCTTGCATTTGCTGTGGTCATGGGCCACAGATAGCCGAGGAGGAAAAACATAATGTATTTTTAAAAGGAAAGACTTGAGGGGGTGGGGTTGTGGCTCAGTGGTAGAGCGCTCGCCTAGCACATCACGTGCAAGGCACTGGGTTCAATCCTCAGCATCACATAAAAATAAATAAATAAAATAAAGGTACTGTGTCCAACTACAACTAAGAAAAAAAATTTTAAAAAACAGAAGGAAAGAATTGAGACTGGTTTCAAAAAAAATTTCAATTAGCAAAATCTGAAAAGAGGAAATTATCTTCCCACTTCTCTTCAGGATGCTAGCTGAGGAAGCAGGTTGAAGTTTCTGTCATTTCTGAGCCTTAAGGCAGGTCATGATTTTTAGTAGAATGTCTTAGGGAATTTCTCAGGAGTCCCTCTCCTCTCAAACTAGATAACTCAAGAGAAGAAATTATTCTGGACAGTAAAGGACATTCAATCAACCCAGGATCAGTGAAGTTGGAGAACAGCATCTCTTTGTTACATTTATAAACCACTCAACACTTTCCTGTTCTTATTTGATCTTCCCATCACCCTGTGAGGTAAGGAATACCATCCCTATTTTATCACCATCAAGGATAGTCCTGCCAGGCAGGGATGGAATTGTCTGACCTAAGGTTGGGTCTCTTTCCTCCATACCTCAGAGCCTTTCCACTTGACATGGTGTTCTACTAGCTTCCTTGACTACAGGAATGGATGCTTTTTGGTTCAGCTAGGATGTAGCCAAAGGCAAATCAGATCCTTCCACTTCTGAAATAGGAGATAGTGTGGGGCATTTTTTTTTTATTAGCATGATCATGGATAAAGGATAATGTAATGAAAAGTGGGGAATATTTGGAGAGGGCCAACTTGATTCAAGCAGTAATTGGGACAGCGCTTTACTTTTCTATTTTACTTTCAAGTTTGGTATTATTGTTTGTTGGTGTAGGGGAAAAGTAGAACTGATTCCTGTCAAAAATGGCATTAATTGCTAGGTGTGGTGGCATATGTCTGTAATCCCAGCAGGTGGAGGCAGGAGGATTGTGAGTTCAAAGCCAGTCTCAGCACTTTAGCCAGGCCCTCAGCAACTTAGCAAGACCCTGCTCTAAATAATATATAGAAAAGAGCTTGGGATGTGGCTCAGTGGTTAAGCACCTCTGGGTTCAATCCCCTATAACCACCCCCAAAAGGCATTAATCAACTTATATAGGATAGGCACAGAAATCTACAAAAGAAATCTGTTAACAATTTTTGAAACATTTCTTCAATTCTGAGGTTTCCTTGGAACCTCTATTGCATTTTGGGGCAATAAGAACAGAGTGCTAAAATATTATGCTATTTTACATTCCTACTAACAGCTCATGTTTTCTAACTTATATAGTGACATAATTCCAAAGGAAAATGAGAACAATGAGTTGCTTTTGAAGTCTGACAGATTTTAGGCACTATTCTCTCACTTCTAGCATATCATTCTTCTAAATCTCTATAATCTTGAAATCCAGATGTTCTGTACTGGTTCAGGGGAATACTCTCCCACAGCTTTGCTCCAAGCTAACCTAACATTCAGGAAGGGAAAAAAGAGACCATGTGCTAAAATCATTCCAAAATTAATAAAAGGATAAATTTAGCAATAAAATTAGCAATGAGCTATTTATAAAATTGGGTCAGTGGGTACTGTCTTTTTCAAAACACATTGTAGATTTTGGGATTTTGGCAAAAGTAAGCAAGAACTCTGAGGTATAATTCTGGCCTTGCCTCAGCTAAATGGCCTGTTTTTGAATGGTTTTCTATGCTTGTCTTAAAGGCAAAGGTGAATAGCGATGAAGATTCATATAGCAAGCTTCATTTCAGAAATACAAGGAAACAAGGGAGAATTTGAATGGGACTCTATGTTACCCTAGTTGAAGTTCATGCTTAACATATGTTCTAAAATATATTTGCATTCTTGAGTTTCAGTTAGTCTAAGGACTTAAGGAATGGAGCTTAAGTTGAGCAGGATCTTTGAATGGTTTCTAGTTTGTGTAGGGCAGACAAGTCAATTCTATACCTTTCCTCTCTCTTACATCATTAGTAGGCATTGTATTTTAGAAGGATTTTAATTTTGTGCATACTAATTTTTAAACTCTTTAAAGTTAAGGACCCATAACTGTTACTTTTTTTTGAGGATTTAGATACCTGAAGCCTATCACTTATTACTTCTTCCCTCTAAGAGATCTATACAAAATTAATCACAGTTAAATGAGGAATAAAGCACGGTTAATTTATCTGTAAGTACCTCAAAAAATAGAGGTTAACCTAAGTTGGAGCAGATGGCTTAGGCTAAAGGCTAAAATGAGGCCTGCTTTCTTTTTCTAAATCTCCCCTTATTCTTCCACCTGCCATTTTCCAAAACTGATGGTAAAATATTTCTAGAGCAATATGAGAAAATTTACATTTATGTCATGAGGGTTAAAAGAAGGGCAGTACAACCAATGCAGAGAAATATTTTTGCTTCCATTTATAATACTAAATTGTCCCAGTTTACTTAGTGTGTGATTGTTTTGCTCAGCTTTCTCAGGGCTGTGACCAAAAGACATGACAAGAACAATTTTAGGAGCATAAGTTTATTTGGGGGATCATGGTTTCAGAGGTTTTGGTCCAGAGAGAGCCAGCTCCATTCCTCAGGGCCCTAGGTAAGGCAAGAACATTATGAGGGAAGAGTGGGGTGGAAGAAAGCGGCTGTGATTACATAAAGAAAATATTGTATATATACACAGTGAAGTTTTATTCAGTCATAAAAATGAAATTATGTCATTTTCAGTAGAAAGAGAGAGAGAGAGAGAGAGAGAGAGAGAGAGAGAGAGAGAGAGAGATAGCTCTCCTCAACAAAGCAACATATATACTTCAAAGACACACCCCCAATGACCCACCTCCTCCATCCATACCTTACCTGCCTATAGTAACCACTTCACTTAATCTCTGTCAGGAGTTTAATTTACTGATAGGGTGAAGGCTCTCAGAACTCAAGCATTTTAGATCTAAATCTTCTTGAGTTGTCTTACACATGAGCTTTGGGAGGGACACCTCACATCCAAATCTTAACAGTGATCATAACAGAAGTTTCCATTTAGGGAGAAATAAAAACCATGGAGAGGAGAGGACGGCCTTCTCTTGTGGTGCTGTTGCTTTTGTTTATGGAGTGGGCGAAGCAAAACATTCTTTTCTATTTATAGGTAAGTGGTAAAAAGGAAGAAAGATCACTCACTGTTGATTTTAAAGTTGACAAAGTACACAAGAGAAGTCAGAGTGTTTCTTGGGCTAATTCCAGGAGGAGAAAGCAGATATGCTCACAATTACAAATGTCTTTTTAGTGCCACAGTTTCTCCCAAAGAATTCTAGACACTGAACAATCAGATTAGTAACTCATGCTTGAAGGAGGGGCTAATTAAGAATAGAAAATTAAATGAAAAGTGAGGACAGAGGTTGCTTTATCTCTGGGCAGTTCCCCGTTTCCCCCAACAATTAGCATGTATTTCAGGGATTAATGCACCTTTCTGTGGACAAGTGTTCTTCTCTCTCTCTCTCTGTGTCTCTCTCTGTGTCTCTGTCTCTCTCTCTCTCTCTCTCTCTCTCTCTCTCTCTCTCTCTATATATATATATATATATATATATATATATATATATATATATATATAACTTGCTTTGGATTTACTTCAAGTCAAATGCTTTGTCAGCAAAAAAGTTAATTTTTTTTGTATATAAATTAGGCAAGTTATGATGAGAAGAATTTCATGAGGGCATAATTATAATTGCTGTAATCATAAGCAATTAGGCAAACCCTAACATCTAAACTTAGTGTGAAGAGAACTTAGCACAAATATTTCTAGAGAAAGCTATCAAAGATATTAAGAAAGTATTTATTGCAAGGTTTCCTGAGAGATTGATGAATAAATTATATAGCAGAATGTCTTTGCTGGGTTTATAGTCTGCCAACTCAATAAATCCTCTTCTGCTAGCCTAGCTTTTAAAAA